TTTTTTTGCTATTGGTACTGGGAACTGAACACAGAGCCTTACACATGCTAGGCAAGTGTTCTATTAGTATACTACACTCCAACCCATTTTTATTTTTAATTTTGTGACAGGATTTTGCTGAGTTGCTGAGGCTGGCCTCAAACTGACATTCCTCCTGCCTCAGCCTCTCAGGTACCTGGGAATACAGGTGTGCACCACCAMRCTCTGCTCTCCCTCTTCATTAGCTGTGCATATATATTTGTCAAGACCTACATTATGTGGGGATTACTTATTAACCCAAGTGACAAGGAGCCAGTGTCTTAAACAATGTTTGGAACTTGGTTTTAAGATGTAGTCTTATATAACTTATTATACCCCTGTAACTTTTAGGCTGATTCAAGTAATTTGTAAGGAATGATTTTACTGGATACCATCCTAGGCTGCTCAGATTGCCATACAAAATATCATAAACCAGAAAGGCTAATAGAAAATAGAAGTTTATTTCTCATAGGTCTGGAGGCTGGCATAGGTCCCAGAGTCAAGCACTGGCAGATTGGTATCTGATGAGGGCCCATTTTCTGATACATAAATGGTATTTTTTAAAAGAAATTATTAAAWTTTTTTTTTGTAGTTGTAGATGGATAAAATACCTTTATTTTACTTATTTATCTTTATGTGGTGATGAGCATCAAACCCAGGGCCTCAAGCCCTCTAGGTGTTGGGCAGGTAGAGTGCTAGGCAAGCAACTACCACTGAGCTACAACCCCARCCCCCATAAATGGTATCTTTTCCCTATAACTTTACATGGAAGAAGAGGTGAAGGAACACTCTCTTGCCTTCTTTTGTAAAGATACTAATCCCTTTCAGGAGCGCTCCATCCTCCTGATCAAATCACTTCCAAAGCTTCACCTCTGCATATGATTGCAGTGGGCCTTGGGATTTAGCATGAGTCTGGGGGGTACACATTGATTCACTCTGTAGCAGATACTTTTTAACGATGATCAGTCTAGGTATTGTAGCTACTGGCTGAGTTCCTTACAGTGGCTACTTTATAAATTGCTCTATAATCGGAGTAGTTAATGATGTGCAAAATCTGCACTTCATCTCCTTCCTAAGGAATTCTTATCCTTTATTCAATTTTCTATCCTGTGCTCTACTGTCCTTGCTTTTGATTTTTTCATCTGCWTATTTTCTCTTAAATGAAAAGTTGCATTTGAATTTTTGAATATSATGACTTGTGTGCTTTAATGATTGTGTTTTATAATGTTTGAAGGAGAGTCTTTAAGAGTTTCTTTGGACTCTTTCTCTTTATCAGCATCTAAGGAAATGGTGTCTGGTTTTTGGAAACTTAATCACAGCAGGGTGCTACATGCTCTTAGGACCCGTCCCTTTCTTGCACATTGAAAGGTAAATTTTTTTTTCTATTTTGGACAAAATAGCATAAGGAATTATTTTTAAACAATGCTAATATAGTTTAATATTTAAAAAGTCTTAATATTTAAATAATTTTGATTTAGGCCTATATTGAATTGTTTGTTATATTGACAGTATTTTACTTTACTAGAAGCTAGCATAGGTTCAAGCAAACAGAAATGGCTGAAATCTTTACCAAATGAGAAAAACACTTATCACACCCGTGTTTGTACTCACTTTGAAAATAGGATTTGTTGCTGTTCACCTGTGGTTGATAATTCTTAGAATATATTTTTGTTTTTTCTATTTTTCTTCCTCACTTCTGAGGCAGAGACCAAATCTTTTATTTCTTTGTGTCATCCTTAGCATGTATCCAATGYTCATTCAAGCTTGTTTATATAATTTATTTGCTAAAGTAAGATGATTTTATTAGACCTTTTTAGATACTTCCAGGTTACGATATGGCATCATGGAAAGAGAAGGACTTCAGTGTCTTTCAGACTTGAATTTGAATTTTGGCTTTGCCACTTAACTGGTACTGTGAACTGGGGCAAACACAATTTTTAAGAGCCTCAATTTTCTTATTATTTACCAAAAGGAGCCAATGATTACAGTAACATTACAAGGATTAAATGAGATACTGTTCATTAAATAACTGGCCTAGTGCCTGATGTAGAACAAACGTTAATTTCCTGTCTTATACCTTTCTTTCTTTGCTGTTGTTTAGGGTTAATTAAATTTCAAAGCCAAGTGATTCAATGAGCAGAGTTAGTATTGATATTTTAACCACTTTCAAAAAGATTTTATATGTTGGGAAGGCAGGTTGGCCCCAGACCTGTGATGTGTGTGACCAAAGAGACTGAGACACTGCATGGGTGAATATGAGGGACTAAAGGGTGACTCAACAGAATGAAACACCWTCAGAGGGGAATGAGAACAAGGCCAGTCACCTCATCTATGAAACAAACTTCTCTGGGATCCTGCCTGTCTTAGCATTAAGTTTTATAGCTCTTAAAATGCTAATGTGTTTGTTTTTGTGTTCTCCAAAACTCTTTTGTAGTCAGCTGTGGCTGCTGGTGTTGATATTAGTTATAAATGGCTTCTCTGCTGGAATGAGTATAATTCCGACTTTTCCGGAGATTCTTAGTTGTGCATAGTAAGTTACTCTCGTCGCTTGAAGAACTGTGCTGCAAACAGCAGTGAGTGCCACAGGCTTTTTTGAATTTTTCAATTTTGTAGGATATTGGATTTTTTCCCCCCAGTAGTAAATCTTCATGCTATAGAATGTATATGTATGTATATGCATGTAAATCATGTAAATAATAATAAAATTATGTAAATTATAATATATAGTATTATTAGTTTTTTAAAAAATATTTTTTTTAGAGATGGACACAATATCTTTACTTGATTTATTTAATTTATTTATTTTTTATGTGGTGCTGAGGATCAAACCCAATACCTCGTGTGTGTGAGGCAAGTGCTGTACCGCTGAGCTATAACCCCAGCCCCAATATATATAGTATTATTAATACACATAGGTAGAGCAGGTTGAAGATAGATGCTTGGCTTGGTTTTTGCCTTAGCATATATGTAATTTGGAAAAGCCATTGCAAAATGGAAAGGCCTTTGCCTTGTGCCTCTTTCATGGAGGAATCCATACAAGACCACAGRGTGAACAGGCTTTTGTCACCTGGTCATCATTCCTTGGTTTGATGAGCACATTGGTGAAGAACACTAAGTACTAAGGCTATGCTGGGTCAGTTCAGCAACTGTAGAAATAAGAAGCTTCCTGTGTTTTCTTAAAGCTGCCCATTATTCTCCTCACACTTTCATCTCATTTTATGAATTTCTTTTTTTTTATATAAAAGAAATAACTTGCTATAATTTTCTACTACATTTCTTTGTAAAATTTTTTGGTGGTTGTTCTATGGATTTTAATATATAATCTTAACTCTCCACTATCTACTTAGGATAAACACTTTACCACTTATTTTTTTTCCTCTTTCCACATTTTTTTTTAATTGGTGCATTAGAGTTGTACTATAATGGGTGGGATTTGTTGTTACATATTCATACATAAACATAATGTAACCATATAAGTTGGCCAGTATCACTCCCCTGCACTTCCCCTCTCCACCTTCTCTTCCCACCCACTTCCTGATCCTTTTTCTTTACTATTGCCCTTTGATTTTCATGAAATGTCTTTCACCCACCTTTCTTTTTTATTTTTATGAATTTCTTTGTTTTATATTCTATAAGCACTTGATATGATGAAAATTCCTCCAAATTAGTTTTTTTTTCTTTTTTCTTTTTTAATTTTTGGTGCTGGGGATTAAACCTGGGCCTTTGCATGCTTAGCCCATGCTTTGCCACTGAGCTGCATTATCTTACAAAGCAGAGTGTTCTCGCTCTTGCCCAGATTACCTGTGGTTTCTCTTAATGCATATATCATACAACTTTTTTCTTTTATGTAGGTTTTCCTTTTAATAATGGATGCACTCATATTTCTCTTTTCAGTGAAAATGGATTTGAAGAGGGATTAAGCACGCTGGGACTTGTTTCAGGTCTCATTGGTGGCATGTGGTCAGTTGGGTAAGTAGGCATTGCATTTCATCCATACCTGAAAGACTTCCTTTTGATCATCTATTAATTTGTATTTGAAAATAGCAGCTCCATTGAAATTGAGACACTGTGAAGTCAGATGAGCTTTTTAAAGAAAAATTGTTKGTACAGGGTAGAGCCAAAAGTCTGATCTACACTTTTAGGCTCCAAAATCTGAATAATCAGATTATTATTTGAAACCAAAGCAAAATGATCTCACATACTTTGTCTTATTTAAGTGGTATTTGGAAGTTCCCTAAACAAACCTATACTTCAGATTTTTAAAACCTTTTTAAAATTGCTTTTATTTTTTAGATACATGACAGCAGAATGCATCACAATTCATATTACACATATAGAACACCATTTTTCATATCTCTGTTTGTATATAAAGTATGTTCACACCAATTCATGTCTTCATACATGTACTTTGGATAATGATGTCCATCACATTCCACCATCATTGCTAACCCCCTGACCCCTCCCTTGCTCTCCCACCCCTCTTTTTTTTTTTTTTTAATTAGAGCTTTATGGTTATACATAGTAGTTGGGTTCAACCCAATAAACTCATACATGCATGAAAGTTGATTTCAGTCATTATCCCCCTTTTCCTTCCCCTCCCTCCTCCTTCTTCTCCTTCGTCTACTCTACTAGACTTCCTTTTGCTCATTTATTAATTTGTATTTGATTGGTTCCTTATGTATTCTTATTCTCCCCCTTCCTTTCCTTTATTTTACTCTATTTTCTGCATATGAGAGAACATTTAACTTTTGAGTTTCTGAATTTGTCTAATTTCACTTTGCATGATATTCTCCATTTCTATCCATTTAGTAGCAAATGACATAATTTCACTCTTTTTAATGGCTAAGTAGAACTCCATTGTATGTATATATATATGATATATATGTCATATATATACTATGATTTCTTAATCCATTCATCTGTTGACAGGCATCTGGGTTGATTTCATAATTTTGCTATTGTGAATTGTGCTTCTATAAACATTGATGTGGCTGTGTCACTATAGCATGCCAATTTTAGATCTTTAAGAAAAATACCCAGGAGCAGGATAGTTGGGTCATATGGTGGAATCATCCTTTAATCTTATTTTTTATTCATTTGTTTATTTAGTTTTTACTTTCTACTACATCATAAGGGTAACTACATGTCAGAAATGTTGTATATGATCAAAAATAAGTATTCAATTGAGTTATATTAGATGCAAATACTGAGGATAGAATAATATAAAGATCCTTCCGAATGTATCGTATTTTAAAAAATTTTTGAACATCATTATCAGGTAGTTTTTCTGTTGTTTTGTTCTGTAGTGGTTGTAGGAATCCAACCAGCACTTCATACCTGCCAGGCAAGCTCTCTACCACTGAGCGGCAGTCCCTGCCCTACAATTCTTTTCTTATACCCAATGCTATGCCCCAGAATCAACATTGTGTTGTTGTTGTTCTCAGGAAAGTTGAAGACTGTATTTTATTTTCTTTTTTAAAATTCTAATTTGTTATATATGATGGTGGAATGCATTACAATTCATATTACACATAGAGAGCACAATTTTCATATCTCTATTTGTATACAAAGTATATTCACACCATCCATGTTTTCATACATGATATCCATCTCATTCCACTATCTTTTATTCAGTATTTGTAGTCCTAATTTAAGGGAGACCTGGGACTGAGGAATCGAGTGACTTTTACTAAGCAATTATTTTTTTTATTGTTTAATAATTCATCTATCCATTGTCAGTGCTTTTGCAGGACCAATGCTGGGTGGATTTCTGTATGAGAAAATTGGTTTTGAGTGGGCAGCAGCTATACAAGGCCTGTGGCCTCTGATAAGTGTAAGTAACCCATGTTTTCCCCTCCACCCCCATCTTCTTTACATTTTGGAGAAAGTTGTCATGGAGGATTTACATTAACCAGTATTTTTCACTGTGTTAAAGGGATTAGTGATGGGCTTATTTTACCTCCTGGAGCACTCAAGGAGAAGAAGAAGGTATGGTCAACTTTTAGAGTTCTTTTTTCTGCCTTTAAAGGTCAGCTTATGGGTGTGGTCAAGAAATACCAATTTATATCCATCCTTCTAGTTAGCAGATTTCTGGGAGCCCTGAGGGTCGTCCCTTACTTGGTAAATATGTTTGCCAGGTTTAAGGGGATAGTTGGGTAGATATGTAGGCACTGTTTATGTTGTTGTTGTTTGTTTGTTTGTGGTTCATTTTTAGATAAGAGATACTGAGATTCTCTTTTTTTCCTCTCAAAGTAGATCTAAGTCTCAAAACATCGTTGGCACAGAAGAGGAACGAACTGCTCTTTTGCCTGATGAAATCTAGCCTTCTGAGTCCTGGATGGATTGGGAGACAGATGCTGGTGGTCCTGCATATCACTGTGGGGAGGGTCTTCTCAGTTTTGGACACAGAGCTCCACGGGGCCTCCACCACTCCCTGAAAGAGCCCACGTGCTTTTGGATGATCCTGTGGTGGGCTGTACTTAAAGTTGCCCTGAAAGGGTAACTGACTGAGCCAGCCATATTTGAAACATTAATTATGAGAAAGATAGTTAAAAACCAGCAAATTTTTTTTTTGTGTGTGTTGCTGGGGATTGAACCCAGGGCTTTGTGCATGTAAGACAAGCACTCTACCAACTGAGCTTATCCTCAGCCCCAGGAGATTGTTATTTTAAATGACCAAACTTCTCCTTGAAGATTCTGTTATGAATTGTCTAGCCTTCTTGCTTCCTCTGTTTACTTTTTATTCTGAGTGCACTGATTTTGTGAATGGAATATACCTTCATTTTTACTGACAAGGAAAGAAATGATTTGATTTGACATATGCTGACTATATCATGATGACACAAAATGTATAGAATCATTAACTATGAAATCAGGTTTTAAAACATATTTTCTCTGACTTGAGATTTTTGTCTTTGTTTAGAAAGCAAAATTTCTGCCTGCCATGCAAAAATTCTGTAGCATCCTTCTGGGCCCTCAGTTTTTCTCAAAATTTCAGATGTGTGAAAGGTGCTTGATATAACATTTACTCATTCCCTTTAACATATCTGTGTTTTAGTTCTACATTTCTTTTTTCTTTCTTTGTTTTTTTTTTTTTTTTTCAGTACTAGGGAATGAACTCAGGGCCTCACACATGCTAGACAAGTGCCCTATCACTGAACTATGTTACCACACTTTTTAAATCTTATTTTAAGACAGAGTCTTGCTAAGTTGCTCAGGCTGGCTCAAACTTGAGGTCCTGCTGCGACAGCCTCAGAGTAGCTGGGAATACAGGCATGCACCACCAGGCCTAGCTTGTGTCCTGGTACTCTTGGTAGATTTCATCCTTAGATCAGATCAGCACCCCAACCCCATCCAGGAATTTTTGTTGTATGTTAGGGACACACTCCCTCCATGGACATGTAAAATCCATGCTGTTATTTGAAGTGAAACAATGTCAACTCTCATACCTCCTGGTCCATTTCATGCTGTAATAGCAACATTAACTTTCTTTTTTTTAGAATAAATGATTTTATCTATTTATTCAAAAATATCTTCGATCACCTCTAATGAATTGATACCAGGTGCTAGGAATTTAGCTGTGATTACCATAAACATAACCTCTGCCTTTATGTAACTTTTAACCAGGAAAAGGAACAAACAGTAAATAAATGCCAGAATTATTTATTATCTTACAAAAATGTTCTGAAGGAAAAAACATGATAAGATAGAATAATTAGCTGGTGTTGATTAGGTGTGGGGCCTTGTTTGGACAAAGGCTCTGCATGGAGGTCAGACTTTTGAGCTGAGAGCTGAAGAATGAGAATGAGTCTGCCATTTATTCATTTTGAAGAGAGACCAGTCCTTAGCATGTGCTTGGTGTGGTAGAAGATGAGCGCACTCTATACTTTCCAGAATCCTGTAAATAGAGTTAGGGAAGTGGGGAGTAGCGGTATTTAAATGGAGGTGTGCAGAGTCTACTTGAAGTTTCAGGAAGTTCTTTGGATCTGCATGTGGACAGCAAGTGGGGTTGCTGATAAGAAGGGATTGAGATGCAGGGAGAACTTTGGAGCTTTGGGAGAGACAATAATGGTTTTAACTAGAGAGGTGGAGGGGTGGAGAGAGAAAAAGATATATTCAGAAGTGGAACTGACACGATTGTTGCTGTGGAGGGGGAAGGAGAGAGGAATCAAGGATGATTCTAGGTTTTAGCTGGAGGATGTGGGTCGATTCTAGTGCTTCTAAGTCACATAGAGAAGAAAAGCAAAACAGATCCTGAAGAGACGAATAATCAAAACCATGATGGGATGCCATTTCCCACCACCAAAACCAACGTAAATGGATACCCAGGGTTGAAGAGGACTGCTTTTGGAAGGGTGCCTGGCACTAACTGTAAGGTTGCATCACAAGGGTCTTATGAACTCTTCCCTATTCCTCTCAACCTCCTTCATCCTTGGAGGTTGGTCAGTGCAGGAAGAGCACCAGTGACCTGTAGGTCAGAGTATGACCACGTTCCCCTGAACCAATGTGAGGGCAGAGCAGGGACAGGCCTGGTCTCCCTGGTCAAATTTTCCTGACATACACTTGCGTTTCTTCTCTCTAAGCCCACTGGTGCAGGGATGTCCCCTCTTCGGCCCGGTGGCAATGCCACTGAACTCATGCAGTTCTAGATGCTGCCTCAGGGTGGCGCTATTAAAGCACTGAGGCCACAGCAACCACTTCTGCTGCCCCAATCTGGCCTTCGGACTTTGCTCAGTACCTCCAGCCCATTTCCCTTACCAGCACAGTTGAATGTTGAAAACTCAATGTCAATGCAAAGATTCTAGGTTTTTTTTTTGTTGTTTGTTTGTTTTTAAGAGCTTTTTAAATTCTAATTTTCAACATGCTGCTCTCAGTAAATGTCTCAGACACAAGTGTTAATAAGATGCTCTGTATGAAAGCAACTCTATCCTTTCCTCGTTGTATGATTTTATAAGTATTAAGATGCATGACAAAAATGCTTTATGAGAAAGAATAAAGGGAAAAAAAAGAAAAGAAAGGATAAAGAAAAAAAATGTTTGGGACTATGAAACCCAAGAAGTAGATCAAAATCATCAGAGGATATTCCTATGTATATGTTTGCAATTTTTATATATTTATATTTTAAATATATTAAAGGTACTCAGATTAAATGAACTCTTTAAAAATGAAAATTATTATTTTATGTAGCTAACTGCAGAATATATTATTAATAAATAAATAAGGATATTTTTATGTTAAGACAATATTTTATCCCATATTGGGATAATACACAAATTAAAGGAAAAATAAGGATATACAGATCATATTTCTTTTAATTAAAATTTTAGGATTTTGAGATAACTGCTGGTTCACATGAAGTTCTAAGAATAAATACACTGATCCTGTTTCTCCTTTCCCTGTTTTCACCCCAATAGTAACATCTTGAAAAACTATGATATAATATTATAACCAGGATGCAGAATATTCCTGTCACCACACCCCTCATGTTGTCTTTTGCAGCTACTCTTAATTCCCCTAATTCCCTTCCACCTTTACTAATCTCCATTTCTGGCATCTAGTCATTTCAAGAAATGTAAAACTGGAATCAATATGTAATTTTATTTTGGGATTGGCTTTTTTGACTCAGTATAATGCCCTTGAGATACACTCATGTTCATTCATTTATATTGGTGAGTAACATTTCATGGTATGGATGTCTTGTGTATCTACCTATTAAAAGATGTATGGATTGTCTCTAGCTTATGATTACAAATAAAACCGCTATGAACATTTACAAACAGATTTTTGTGAAAACATAAACCTTCATTTCTCTGAGACAAATGCCAGGAATATACCTGCTGGGATGTTTCATGGTTGCATGATTAGTTTGCTTTACTTTCCCCCAAATAACTCATTTGTTTTAGATAGGAAACTTGATTCTGGCAATAAATATTAAACATCACATATTGATGAAATATCATTCTATTGGCTTATTTTTTTTTCATTATCAAGATTTAGTATGTTACATATACTCTCTCAAATCTAGCTATCAAAAGAAGTGGTTAAGAAATACAGTCCCAGATTATGGTGGTTCAATTTAGAAATTTTCAACTTTCTGATGGTTGTTCTTAGAAACCATATTACAACTAATAGTAAGATGTGAAGGCTGGGTTTGTGGCTCAGTGGTAGAGCGCTTGCCTCACATGTGTAAAGCACTGGGTTTGATTCTCAGCACCACACATAAATAAGTGAATAAAATTAAGATCACACAACTAAAAAAGTGTGTGTGAGTGTGTGTGTGTGTGTGTGTGTGTGTGTGTGTGTATAAAGAGGCTGATACCTCTAGATATAATCATGTTGAAAGGAAATAACCTAAAGATCAGTCCCATGGTATCATCTTTTCCTTTAGAGTCACTTGCATGAGCCCTCATCTAATGAAATAAACACATAGAAGAATAAGCCCAGAAACAATATATTGAGAAAAAAGAAAATGTTACCTAGAGTATTAACTAAGGAAACCATAACCTCAGTTTTCAGGGCTACATGAAATGAGCCTTCATTAGGAACTACTCACAATTCTTGAATATTTACACCAATTCCTTTCAGAAATTCACAGCTCCCCTTCTAATGGCAGCCTGTTTGTGCTTGAGGGTTAGAGTGTAGGCCCAATCCAGGAAAACCTGGTATTCAGTAATAACCTCTGATTTCATCAGCAGTACTAAAATGAAGAAATAAAAAGTCTGTTTTTTTGTTGAACATGGGTCAACAATAGCATTACAAATACAGAACTACATTCAAATCAAGCCTGGTATGGTGTCGCATGCCTGTCATCCCTGTACTCAGAAGGCTGAGGCAGGAGAATCTCAGGTTAAGTCCAGCCGGGGCAACACAATGAAATCCTGTTTCAAAATGGAAAATAAAATGGACTAGGGATATAGTTCAGTAGTAGAGTGCTTATCTAGTGCGCATTAGGGCCTGAGTTTGATCCTTAGTACTGAAAAAGAAAAAAAAAAAAAGTCTTACAAATCCAAACAAAAATTGAAATCCAAATCAATTAAGTTCTAGTTTATATATTCAGATATGATAGTCATAAAATCAGTTGCTGAATAAATACAGGTAGAGTTCTTTTTCCTTTTAAGGTAATTAAAATCAGTGTAGATAAATCTTTGTCCTGAATGCAGTACTAATACCTTATTTTCTTCCTATGTTTTCACAACTTTTGGCTATTTTCATTTCTTCTTCTATTATTATTATATTCTGTTCAACTATCACCCTTATTGGTTTGCTTTTGCCTCTTTTGTTCGTATTTGATAAAGAGCCAAGACACTTGGTTATGGTGAGCTGAGTCTAACCTCCTGGACCGGAAGATGACTTGGTAAGGAAGATGGGGGCGCACATTAGGACATAGGACATTCATCTTAGTGAGTAAAGGAGCCACAGCCCTGGAGTGTGTGCTTGAGATTGCACCTTGTAAAAGGAAACATATTCTTGAGGTCAAGCAGCATTGTTAATGGGGAAGAACTGCTTAGAAAGGGAAGATCTGCCCACAGCTTCTTCATGCCTAAAGCTGAACACACCACTCAGCCTCAGCTAGTTGATTTAGATTAGTGAGAACTCCCAAATTGATATTGCAGATTAATTGGTCTTCCATTTAAATGAATTCCATTCAGCAGAGTTATGGCTTGAGACTACATTCCAGTAGGGCAAAGCAACAATTGCAAGACTCCAGCTTTTCTTCTAGGTCTTTGCATGTTGTCACTCTGCTTAGTGGCATAACCTGAAACTGAAGAAATAGTTCCCCTCCCCTACCAAAACCTTCCTGTCAGAGTCCTCCTGTCAGATTTCTTCAGAGTAGAGAAGATGAAGAGGAGAAAAGAGTGCTTCAACCTCATCTTGAGGCAAAGACTATCTCCAGTGAATTGTTCCTCCCTGCAGGGAGTTGTAAGAGTTTTAATGAGGCATCTCCTGGGAGGCTCCATTCCTGTCCGTTTGGGCAGACATGGAAAGACACCCCTAAAAGGCTTCTTCCCCACATTTTGGCCCATCTTTTGGTCACTAGTTATGTAGGCAAGATAAGGGGAGAAGGAGGGCATGATAACAAAGAAACTCTAAAATGTTTAAAAAGGGCAGGACGCCCCCACTTCCTTAGACACACAGCTCTGGGCACCCTTCTGTGCAGAGAAGTCTCTGTTTATTCTAGTCTTTAAATAAAACTTGCTTTGTATGCTTGCCTGGGCATTTCTTGGTTGTTCAAACTTCACAACTGGGGAAACAGGACTTGTCCCTGATTGATTCTCATCATTGGCATCAATCTCACCCCCCTGCTTTTCTGAGCCCCTAGCTGAGTTGAGATTTTTTTTTTTTTTTGAGAAATTGCCAAGCTGTTTTCCAGAATGGAGGTACCATTTTTAAATTTCCAGCAGCAAGGTACAAGTAACCTAGTTTCTCTGCAAGTTTTGTGCACCTGTAGGAGTTTTTACAAATGCATAATAGATCAGGCATGGTGGTGCATGCCTATAATCCTAGTGACTCTGGGGGCTTGAGGCAGGAGGATTGGAATTTTAAGGCTCGCCTCAGCAACTTTAGTGAAACCCTGTCTTAAAATAAAAAAAATAAAAATTGCTGGGGATGTAGCTCAATAGTAAAGCACCCCTGGGTTCAATCTAAGTATAAAAAAAAAGAAAGAAAGAAAGAAAGAAAGAAAG